TGTTTCCACGTATGCCTAGAGAGGACAATTGTTGGAGAATATGGTACCGCCATGTCGTATCATATGCTTCTACATCAAAAAATATAGCTAGTACGGATTCATGGCGTGCAAATGCGGCTGTAAAATATATGTCTCAAAATGAGCAAGGGGGTCACCTGTGCTTCGGGCACGGCGAAAACCGAATTGGGAAGGAGAGAAAATTGTGAGATTCAAGATACCACATTAAGCGGAAGTTTGTTTTACTTTTCCGAATTGTACGACGAAGACAGGCAGATGCTCTTTTAAAGGAGATAAGGGCTGATAGTTGATTTGAAGTACCTCTCTTGTAGCAGTAACTGTTCCAGGCTGCACGTTTTAAGCGAAGTGCTTTAGTGCAATCAGAATTCCATTTGGAGGTATAGGGTCTTGAGGTTCGTGGGATAGCTCTATGTGCAGCTCTTAGGACTATAGTTGTGAAATACTGTATCATTTCTGAAATGGAGGAGAGGGAGGATGGTGGGGTATGAATAGCAGAGAGTGAAGTGAAAGTACGCCAGTCGGCTCTATCAAAGCACCAGCGTGGGGAGTTAGCAAGTGGTACATATGAAGTAGGAGAAAGGAGAACTGGAAAGTGGTCACTATAGGGAAAGTGATCTAAGACTGACCAGTGGAAATCTATATGAAGAGAAGGGGAGCATAGAGAGAGGTCAATGCATGAAAAAGATTGCGTGCGTGTATCAAAGTGTGTGGGGCGATCTGAATTTAGAATAATAAGGTCAGCTGTGGAGAGGAAGCGCTTTAGGGATCGGCCTCGGGAGTTGGTGATAGAATCACCCCAAAGAGTATGGCGGCAGTTAAAGTCACCAACTATGAGGAAAAGTGGTTGAAGTTGGGAAATTAGATTTTCGAAAGCAACAAAGTCAATGGGGTGGGAAGGGGAGAAGTAGACTGAGATCACTGTGATCCAACGATGAAGATAGGTACGAATAACTGTGCAAGGGACATTGGTTTGAAAGGGAGGTGTGACATAAGGTGTTTTCTGATTCATAAGTATGGACGAGACATAAAGGGAGTGTGGGAAAGAGACAAAATGATAATTGGGAATTGGAATTGGTGGATGTGTAAGAAAGGTCTCTTGGAGGCATACAATGGATGGGTTATAAGAGGAAAGGATATGGCGAAGGTCGGGTCTGTGAGAGCGAAAACCGCGAATATTCCAATGAAGGATAGTTATACTTTAGTGATATAGATTGTAGTACGCGTTGGAGAATTTGAGGGGGAAGCAGCTAGAGGGTGGGATAAGGACTGAGAGGTTTGAGATGGGAGGGGTGTGGGAGTTGGTGTTCTATTAGGAGGGGTATTAGGAGATGGAGGGTCTGAGGAAGGGGATACTTGTGACGTAAGGGATTCACGTGTGTATCCAGGAAGGAGTGGAAGGGATAGAAGGGATGGTGGAAGGGTTAATGTGGGTGGGATTGGAGTTGGGGGGGATGGGCTGTGTTGGGAGGGGGTAGGAGGATGGGGTGTAGGGAGGATATCATTAGGAGGAGGATGGATATTGGCAATCATTTGGAGTGTGGAAGGAGCAGGAGTTGTAGGATTAGAAGGTTGAGTGTCGGTTTTCATTAAGTAATCTTGAATATTTTCAATAGTTTCTTCAATGGAGTTGGTTGGGGAGTTTGGGAAGATAAAGGATTTCTTGTGAGGGGGGGAAGAGAGGACTGGTGTCTCAAGAGTAGGGGCGAAGGAAGGTGGAGGTGATTGTGTGGTAGGGGAAGAGGGGGTGGAACGTTTGTTCTGTCTGTTACGGATAGTGCGAGGAGGGAGAGGGGAAGGTGTTGGGGTTGTAGTGGAGATTGGAGTGTCTGGATTTAGGATGGCAAAAGAGTTTGACTGGGGAAGGTAGGAGGTAGAAGAGGGGGAGATGTAGGAGGGGTGGGTTTAGAAGTGGTAGAATGAGCAATGTTACTGGAGTAGGTATTAAGAGAAAAACCTCGTCGTCGAGCTTCTTGTCTGGCTTCACGTAGTGTGAGTCCAAGTTTGAATCTGAGAGTTGCTACCTCAGACTCAAATTTGTAGGTGGGACAACCCCTATAAAATACATTATGGGGGCCGCCACAGTTGGCACATGTACATGATTGTGCAGAGCAGTTTGATCGGATATGGCCAGGTTGGGCACATAGTGGGCATCTGGCTGTGGAACGGCAATATTTGGCGGGGTGTCCTAGACGCCAACAATTTTGGCTCTGACGTGGAGGAGGTTGGTATGGACGGACAGTGTAAAGGGGTATTAAAGGGACCTCTAAACATTGGTGACAGGGAGTATTAAAAGCTTAGTGGCTTAAAACTCTTTTATTGATAGAGCTAGCAAGCACACGGACTTGAAACACAATATGACACTTGGGTATTGGGCGGTCGGCTGGAGGGTCGCCCGGGGTCACTGGCGAGCCCAGCCCCGGTCAGAAGTGACCTCGACCGCGCCAGGCAAACTCTGCTTTGACCGGTCAAAACGCGGCCTTAAGTCTCCGAGGCGGGAGACGAGTGGTAACGAGGCTAGGTAGCAAGCGGCGTGGGTACGCTCCGCTGCAAGCGGCGTGGGTACGCTTTGCTGGGCGGCTTGGCGTGGTGTAAGCATCCACATGGTCGCATACAGTATTTTGTATAGACATGGCGGGATTCTCCACCTACGTAAACGTTAAAGGGAAGGTCATTTCTACGGAAGGTAATTTTGGCTATGTTAGTGGGTTTCTTTCGATGACCTCTGGGGGGAATGGAGTAGCATTGTACTGATGTTGCATCTTAGTCAGTGAGACAGGAGAGTAGGTCTTCTCCACAATCTGACCAATCTTTGTCATAGATTGGGCAATTTGCTGGGGAGATTGAAACGGTTCCGATGCAAGTATTGAGGGTTGGATGGGGTTCTGCAAGGATGGGGTTACCATATAGATCAGTTAGTTTTGTTAATGCTGTAGCTTGGGATTCAGAGGTAACTGTGACGAGACGGGAGTGATCGGGTCGGCTACGGAAAGAGACTTTACCTACTTGTTTTTGGAGAGAGAAGGGTGTTGTCAGAGTAGGGAGCTGTGGGAGGGATCACGAAAAATCGGTCCCATTTGGCTGCACTGAAGAGAGTATTCAAGATTGTTTTAGAGATAGGGGTGGTAGAAGGGCGAGGGCGTGACGAAGATGGAGTAGTGTTGAGGGAGGTAGTGTTATGGAGAGGTGGGCAATAAGGTTGTAAGGTATTAATAAGGGAGGATGGGGTAGTTGATGTTGGAGGTTGTGGAGGTAGAGGTGTTGAAGTTGAGCATGTTGGGAGAGTGGAAATGTCTCTTGGGGTTTGATTGTTGACTACTGTACTAGTAAGCATTGATGAGGGGGTAGTTGTTGCAGTGTTCGGAGCCGTGGTCAAAGGAGAGCCTGGGGTCAGGGAATCGGGAGGGTTTGCATTGTTGAGGCTATTTGATAAAGGGGCAAGCCTCATTGCCTCTAATAGAGGAGTTACGTCTTCATGATTGGTCATGGTAAGCCTGGATTATGTTGGGGATAAAAACAGTCCACCCCTCAGGGTCCCCTTGAGGGGTAAGGGCTAGGTAACTAAATCAGGGGAATACCATGCCCATGGCTCCCTCAAGCCATTCAGGACTGGCACAAAGTCTGCCTTTCATCCTTTCAGCACGGCTCTCACACCTTAGGAGGTGGATAGTAGAAGGGATTGGTGAAGGGACAGAAACGAAAAAGTAGGAAGGGAAAAAAAAACATGCAAAATTACTTGAGTCGAGGGCTGAGTTCCAAGGTTGGGGAGTTCCCCATAATTGGGTCCCAGTCTCCGCCTCCTAAGCCCACCCACGACAACAATGAGCAAGGGACTGGGGGTGGGGGGGGGAAGTGGTAGGATAAGCAATATTACTGGAGTAAGGAGGGGGGGGGGGCATTTCAATAAACAATTCCAAGAAGGCGCATTTGAAAAAAATAGTCCATAAAAAGCCAACTATAATTGATACTGCACATTATGCAACCAGTTATTAAAAAAAAAAAAAAAAGAAAAAAAAAAAAAAAAAAAAAAAAAAAATTAAATAGCTTATTTCATTTCTAAAAATAGATATTGCACTTACTGGCTATTTATGTTCTACCAATCACGTTCTTTGTAACAACCTAGGGTTTTCGCCTCAATCATAAAAATACTATTTACGGTATGTTTACATTGAGGTGGTTGCCAGATGTACAAAAACGGGACCCAGCATGTGTATTGAAATATAATTCCGCATACGTGTATATATATGTATCTATGTGTGTGTGTGTGTGTACATGCACACATATATATATGTGTATTTATACTTATATATATATACATATATATGTGTGTGTGTGTATGTACATATATATATGTATATATGTATACACACATACATATGTGTGTATATACATAATATATGTATATATATATATATAACATACATATATATATAATGTGTGTGTGTGTATGTATGTATAAATATATATACATATACATATATATATATGTATGTATATATATATATATATATATATATATATATATATATATATATATATATATATATATATATATATATATATATATACATATACACACGCATACACACATACATATATGTGTGTATATACATGTATATGTGTATAAACATATGTATATATATATACATATATATATTTGTATAGACACATACATACATACATATATATGTACATACATAATATATGTGTATATATTATATTATACAATATAATATATATGTATATATTTTACACACACACACATATATAACACACACACAATATTTATGTAATATACATATATATAATATACGTATAATATACACACATGTGCGTGCGCACAAACATATATTACACAAATGAGAAATACTGAAAAGTGAGACAACAGTTTTGAAATCCTGGATTTCATCTTTAGGTCTGAAGGAGAAAGGGAGTTGAAAGAGTATGAGAGAGAGAGCATGTGTATTAAAATAAGACTTCTATAATTAACTGTGATAATATTGTATTTACATGATTAAATTACATGTATTTGTATGAAAAGATTTACAAAATTTCTATATCCAGTTAATGTAGGTTACTCATTCTGTCTTATTTTTGGTGGAATGATTTAATCAAATTACATAAATTATTATACTTTAATAAAATTTATCAAAATAAAATTCATTCTATGATTAATACTAAAGACAGATAAAGAAAAGCCAAAGCATTTATAAGAAGAAAATACAATACAGATCTAACTCAATACAATACAAAATACAAAGCAGATTTAACAGTTCCTGTATACACAATCTTCTACAGTCAAAAATCACAGTCCCTTGGTCAACTACAAGCATTAAAGACACTAGTAAAGAAGCATACTACAAATATATGAATCCTTTAAAAAATGTTCTAGATAGTGTTCTAGATATTTTGAATTACTTTCTGTAAAAGGTAAAGCTGGTACTGTGTGTAGTGGTGGGTTTAGTACTGTGTATTTGCATTTTTACTCACCTAATCAACTGTGTCATTTAAGAAATTATGTGTATCATAATATACCTTCATTAAATGTATGCAGTGATCTCTAAACAAGACAGTGGAGAAAATTAAAATAAAATAACTTCCTCTTACTACAATTAGTGGCTATATCTGCAATATGGTCTAATGACAATACACTGTATGTTGTCCTAAAACTGTTCATGAGCTGAAAATGTTTGCAAAAGAAACTTTGTTGCATTTTATCATAACCAAGACTTTTAGCTGTGCTTTGTTACAAAAGTGAGCTATCCCTATGTAAAAAAAAATATATATAATTCAATCTTTGCTGGCTCTTACACCAAGAAATTCAAGAGGAATGATAAAACAACATTCACACTACAAACTGTCATGAAAATTCACAGAAGCCACAGCCACAGGAACCTCATACACTGCCCACCATATACTCTGCAAATTAACCCAATGCTACAGGGGACATAATGTATGTAAATAGCACGCCTAATGTGAGTTTACTTTACCAACTGAATTCACAGATAACTAGCTCCAAAAGAGCTTACTCACCAAGGAGTCAATTACTAGTACTACCTGGCAGCATTGGGTTAACACATATTGTACTCTTTCAATTGATAATTACAGGTACAGTTGAATGCCCTCAAATGGCCTTATCTTCACTTATACAAATAAATTAAAAAAAAATTGTAATAAATGAGAAATATAATCCTAAAAGTAATACACCGAGATTAGAAAAAAAAACAGAGCTAAATGGATACTTATTTGTTTGAGGATTCATTAAAATTTACATCCTTAACAAAATATGGCAGTTATAAAATAATTTACATATAAATTTATGTTTTTGGAAGGAAGGGGTTTCTAATCCATATATAGAGTTCTCACTAGAAATATTAATCCGCAGTTATTTATAAAAATATTAGAACAACTCTAATACAGCCCCAAAGAGAATTATCATGGTCTCAATCAGGCTATGAAACTATAAAATGAAAAAAGAGAACCTACGCTTCATCACACAGACTGAGTAAATGCAATGAAAAATATGTCTCTTACTTTTGTTTATTTATCCATTCCATCGTAAGAAGGAAAATCTATTAATTTTCCTGCAATCGCTCCATACGGAATTTTAAGTGAGCGAAGGACAGATCAGCCAATTGAAAAATAAACAAATACATAAACTGTAAGTGCGATGGCATAAAAAAACACAAAAGGCAAAACGCTGTCAACAAAATTAATAAAATTAACAAAGAATAATCATTAGTGCAATAATAATAACAAAAAGGAAATTCGGACAGAAGAAATAACATTAATCCGACTCTGACTCTGATTCGGCTATGATTCTTGCCCTCGATGCTTTGATTGGAGAGTTGAACTGCGGCGACTGCGACCTCTGGCTGGCGTACAGGCTGTGTGCGTTGCGTCTGCCTCGACCTATGAGGGCAGAAAATGACAGCATGTCAATATCAACATATCCACGAGTGAAGAGAGTAGCAAGGAATAAGAGGGAAGGGACAATAAGTTTTGCACTTTTTGTTCTTTTCTTTTCTGCTGCTGCTACGAAAATAAACAACAGGTTGGTGGTGGCTGATGATCAGGGGCGTCACTTCATGTTATGAGTTGGGGGGTGACGGGTAAATTTGCCCTGAAAAAATAATTTTTGCCCTGCAAATCACGAAAAAGAAAATGCTCACTAGCTCTTTATAAGTAGCCTGGAATGGACCATCAACCAGTATTTACAAATGATAAATGAACAAAACAACAAAAAACGTAAAAACTTAACTAGAAACTTCTTACAATACCAAAAAATAAGAAATCTATAACGAATAGAACAGGGTTCAAAAATTAATTTTGATAGTTTAGACATTAGACACTTTGCGCCAGAAAATGTTATAAATCAAGTATCATCAACAATTAGTTTCATATAGTTATTTATAGATCTTGAATACTTATCGGCTATTGAGGCAGATTCCGTAAGAGAAAATTTGCCCTGCAGAACTAGATTTCGCCCTGCCAAAAGAGGCTTTTTTAAGAGTTGGGGGGTGAACCCCCCCCCATACTCCCCCTTAAGTGATGCCCCAGCTGATGATGGATGGAAAGTTTGGTGTTGATCATTTGGTGTCTAACAGGTTGGTAACAATTATTTAAATACAGTTATATTATTTTGACATATTGCATTCAGCAAATCATCACCAATCCTCAATTGTATCCTTAACATCAACAACAAAACTACACACACATACACACACACACACACATATATTAAGAAGGGAAGACAGAAGAAAGGAAGAAAGAATAATGGTAATGATGATCATGATGATTCTGGTAATGATTACAATAATGATGCTAATGCTAACATTAACTTCAGTAACTGTTCACTTATTGGAAAAAAAAAAAAAAAAAAAAAAAAAAAAAAAAAAAATGCATTACTGCAGTATAAAAAAATATCTTTGCTCAAGGAAAGTATTTCATGGATAATGATGATAATGGCAGTAAAAGACCATGTTGGAGATTGGTATTATTGTGTAACACCAGTACTTTGTCTTATGCCGATTGGCTAAAACTGTTTCTTGTTTTGTAATTTATTTTCCCCTTTTATTTTTTTTGTTGTTTTATTGCAGCTCAGCTCAAACTCTCTTCATAAGGGACTTATGCCTGAATAAAGCAGAACAGCTTTTGATATAAGCAAAAGCAGGAAGTGTATAATGTGTAAAAACAAACAATATAATAAACAAAACTTAGGAATCTAAGCTTTCAAAAATAACAAAAAAACAAAAATAATAAAAACAATAAATACACAAATAATTAAACAAAATTCTGTTTCAATGATTTTGTGTAGACTCTTCTGTCTATAGTTATAATCACAGTGCATCAACACTTTATATCCAAAGAACAGCCACTAGAACTAGGAAAAACAGAGCTAGATTTTTGTTTCTCAATCCATTGTTATGTCATCCAAGTTTTTGGTATCTTTTTTAATACCTGCTTCTAAACAACGTCTTTCTAAATAAATTGCTATAAATCACCATTTCTAATTGAAAAATTTCCAGTGAATTACCTAAGTATAAAAATTAATACAGAAATCCAGCTTTCCAAAGGTCTGGATATAAAGGCTTAACACTCTGTCCATTATGGTGTTAGTTTGTGTTTTGCTTCTACGCAGATGCCTCAACAGGCACTTAGTCACAAACTTGTAGACTCATCTGACACTACCTGACTACACCAACTCTTGAACTTTCTGGATTTCACCCCCCTGAATACTAATACTATTATTATTATTATTATTACTATTATCATTATCATTAAACTAATGTAAGAATTATAATGTTCTTAACCCCTATGATCCATATGACCTGATCATCACGTCATGAAAAATTTTTGCTTAAGGAGTGGGTAACCTGAACATGCCATCATGGGAAAATCTGGCTGTGGGCTGGGGTGACATGAACATGCCATCATGTATATTTCAACTGAAGGCTGGGGTGCAGGAAAGACTTGCCATAAGGGTACAAACCTCCTGGACTCATTTGGCACTTAGAAAGGGGCTTTTCGTTATTTCTATCGATAAATGAGTGTGGAATGTATTGTCTGTGAGCCATGACTGGTAGAGTGCTAGCTCCAGGGAGATACTATTTCCATGCTCAGCATCCTATTCCAAGCCACTGTGACCAGCAGTGCAGGTTATATTACAGAAAAGTGAATGATACAAAGGGAGAAAGAGAGAGAAAGAGAAAAAGAAAGAGAGAGAGAGTGAGACAAATAACAAAATATTACTCATTATTCTTATTCTTGCACTGAGTTATGAACTACCTATAGAGATGATATGAGAGTGCAAGGAAAACATTCTATTACCATCTGGATAAAATAAATCTAATGACAAATATGGGCAATGAAAAATTGCGAAAAAGCTAAAAACTTGCACAAAATAAGAAAATAACATTGGAAATGGGAGGCAGAGAGTCTTATCATTGCACAAGAGTGTTTATGTGTCCCTGGCCTACAAGCTGTGCACCCATTGGAATGGCTAGTCAAGTAAGCTTTATGCCCATATTTTGGGCCATGTGATTGTTGTTAACAATACCAAAAGTAATTAAAAATAAAACACATTCTTTCTGAAATAAAGAAACAGGGGAAACAGATGAGATCAAAGAGGCCTTATAACTGACTTCAATTAATTATAATTAATTATTCTAGGTGACTGAGAACTTCTGGAGCCATCTATCTGTAAACAAAATTAATCACCCAAAATCACAGTGGAATGGACTTGGAAACATATGTCATCAGGAAGAAATAAAATGAAGGGAGGAAGGATTCAATTATTCTCTCATACACTACTAACCTGAATCAGCTATGATGTTGCCAAGGTCCAGTTCCTCAACTTCTTTCTTTCTTTCAATCTTCTTGCGAAGTTTCTTGCACTTCTCAAGGGTCGGAGCACCTGAAATCAGTAACACTCTTTCTGTCAATTTGGGCTATGATACCTATATTTTATTTGATGATATCATTCTTCTATGATGTAGTTGTGTTAAGTTTTGCTTTGTTTTGCTCTTAATTCTTTTGTCTGCCTAAAGCACAATCATGGAAATTATACCTGATCACCATTCAATCAAACCACTAAATCAATCCATATATCTATTAGGTCATGTCCATATGTGGAAAAGGCAAGCAAAATATTGTTTTAGAGCATTTTTATCACACTGAATTTTTGTAAGCATTATGTCTGACCTTGAATACTATGAAAGATGTAAAAAGAATAGAAAAGTGCACAAACATAACACTGCAGAGTCAACTCTGACAAAAAAAGTTAGAAAGAAAGACAGAAACAAACAAACAAAAAAAAAAAATTATACAGTCCTGATACTATATTGGGCATGGGCCTTCAAGTCTGCTATTTAACCAGCTGGTTGTGTTAGGCAAATATAATTGAAGTTCTATCTTATTATGCAACCATCTTAGTGTCTCCTTTGTATAATGTCATATTTTGAGGAGTACCATATGCTCAAATGAACAAAAAATATTTTATCAAATCGAAATAAAACAGAATTTTGTTTGTTTTGCCAAAGATGAATACAAATGACGACAAGTGTTATGACTGATATGTTCGCAAATGATATGACTGATATGTATGCATATTTGACTGATATGTACACATATGATATGACTGATATGCACTGGAAATTGCTAAAATAAACTGTGGATAATTATTGTTCCTCTGGATACAAAAGCAGACATACACAAAAATTTGTTACTTTTCACATATTTTTAAAATTCAGCTTTTCTAAACCCTTTTGCAATCAAAAATGGATTATTTACCATCATTCCCAACAAGAAAAGCAGCAAAATGATTAACTCTATTTTTCTTTCTTTCATAAGAGGCATATGGAATCCTTGGTTCCAGTCAAAGGGTTCTCTACTCATTGCCAAAGATAACCAAACAAGGTAGATGGCACTTACCTTTAAGTCCCTGTTCTTCCATCACACCCAGGAGTTTAGCCTTTTTGGCAGCAATACTCTTGCAGCCTTCCAGAAGTTTGTCATAGTTCTTGATGTGGATGCCACAGGTGCGGATGTACTTTTTGAGACGGGCTAGTTTGTCCTCACCCTGGGAGAATCAATTTAGCCAGTTTGATTGGTATTGAAGTGGTAAGAGAGTCCTAAAAAAATTCCCACTGCATTCCTTATCTTCCTTTTTAGTAGGAAAGCAGAGGGAAGTTGAACAGAATACCAAGGAGAGAAATATTACGAGACAAACATCAAAATCATAAAAACAAAAACACAAACTCACCTTTGATTGCTTTGGTGACTTTTTACTGGCTTCCTTCTTGGCTGGCTTCATCTGCTCTTTTGAGGACTCTTCATTATCACTATCCGAGTTGAGTGATGTATCTGAACTATCACTGTCTGCCTTGTCTGCTTTTGGAGCTTTCTTTGACACCTCTTTTCCTTTCTCTCCTGTTCCTTCTTTCTTCTTCTTGGCTAGAGGTTCATCACTGTCTGAATCACTGGTTTGCGCAGGTTTAGGTGGCTTTTTCTCTGCTGCTTTAGTCTTCTGCTTCGCGGGAGTTTTCTTGGCTAGTGGCTCTTCGTCATCAGAACTACTGCCGCCACCTGAGTTTTCTGAACTGTCATCGGCCGTCTTTTTGGCCTTTGGCTTTCTCCCTCTCTTGGGCGTCTTCTTACTCTCCTTCTCTGGCTCTGACTCTGAGTCTGAGTCCTTTTTCTTGCCTTTAGCTGTCTTGGGCTGTCTGCCTCTTTTGGGCGTCTTCTTACTCTCCTTCTCTGCCTCTGACTCTGAGTCCGAGTTGCTGCTAAGCTGGTTCTTCTTTGCATCTGCATCACTTCCATCAGAATCCTCAGAGTCTTCCTCCTTCTTCTGTTTTGAGGGAACACTCTTCTTCATCTTTGCACTTGCCTCTGCATCTGAGTCACTGCCTGACTGGTCATCCTTCATCTGTTTCCCTTTCTTATTACTCAGTGGCTCCTCATCTGATTCACTTGGGGTTTCTATCTTCTTCCTCTTGGGACTTGGGCCTTTCTTCTTACTCAGAGGTTCCTCTTCATCTGAACTACTTGGCTTATTTCTTTTCTTTCCTTCCCTGTGTTGCTCTTGCTTGCTGTCAGATCCACCAGACTTCCTTTCCTCTGTGTCCTCACTCTTTGCAGCCTTCTTCTTCTGCAGTGGTTCATTGTCAGAATCACTCTCACTCTTGGCTTTTTCAGCTTCTGGAGTTTGTTTCTTCTTCACTAATTGATCATCATCAGAGTCATTATCACTTGTTGCATTTTTGGCTTTGATTTTCGATTTTGGAGTCGGCTTTTTTTTCTGTAATGGCTCGTCATTAGAGTCACTTTCACTGGCAGCTTTTTTCGATTTTGGAGTCGGCTTCTTTTTCTGTAATGGCTCATCATCTGAGTCACTATCACTGGCTGCTTTTTTCGATTTTGGAGTCGCCTTCTTTTTCTGTAATGGCTCATCATCTGAGTCACTTTCACTGGCTGCTTTTTTCGATTTTGGAGTCGGCTTCTTTTTCTGTAATGGCTCATCATCTGAGTCACTTTCACTGGCTGCTTTTTTCGATTTTGGAGTCGGCTTCTTTTTCTGTAATGGCTCATCATCTGAGTCACTTTCACTGGCTGCTTTTTTCGATTTTGGAGCCGGCTTCTTTTTCACTAAGGGCTTGTCATCAGAGTCACTGTCGCTGGCTGCTTTTTTTGATTTCGGAGTTACCTTCTTTTTCACTAAGGGCTTGTCATCAGAGTCATCATCACTCTCTGGATCTTTAGACTTCTGACTGACCTTTCTGGCTCTTTTCTTAGTTACAAGTGGCTCATCATCTGAGTCACTGGAACTCACAGCTTGTTTGGCCTTCTTCCCTGGCTTAACTGCTTTTCCTTTGCTCTTCTTAGGAGCTTCTTCATCATCATCAGAATCGGAATCACTGTTCTTAGATTTCTTCTTGGCCAACTTTGTGTTTCTGGCTGCTGCCTTGCTCTTTTGTTTGGCCTTAGTTTTTTTGCCTCCCTTCTTGGCCTCAGGCTCATACTCTGACTCACTTGATGATCCTTCTGAGCTAGACTCACGCAAGGAGGCTTTGCTGGATTTCCTTGGCCTCCCTCTGCTCTTCACAAGAGGTTCATCGTCATCAGAATCATCAGAATCATCACCTTTCCTTGCCTTGTTCTTCTTTTTGGTATTCTTGCCTTTTGCTGATGCCTGTGTGGACTTTTTCTTTTTCGGCACCTCTTCTTCATCTTCGCTAGAGTCCTCAGATAACATCTTGGAACTCTTTGCTGGTTCTGCTTTGGGCTCAGAAAGATCCTGTCCTGAGTCCTCATTAGGTTCCTTCTTCTGTGCTTTAGTCTTGGGGGCTTTCATTGCCAGGGGCTCATCAGAGCCCGAATCCTCATTGGATTTGTTACCCTTCTTGGAGTCCGACTTAGTACTGGCTTTCCTCTGTGCCGCATTCTCCTCCCCTGACTCTTCCTCTGAGCTATCCAACCTGCTCAGGCCAGAGTCATCATCTTCTGACTCTTTGTTAAGGATGTTCTTGATGTCGTCCTCTGTCACCGAGGGTTTCTTTCTCTGCATCACATTTACCTCTTTCTTCACACCTTCCTCCTCCTTCTTAGACCTCTTCCTGGGTGTCTCCACCTCATTCCCTGGGGACAGAGCTCGCTTTCTGTCCACGATCCCATTTTCTGCTTCCATGGCTGAGTTGTTCTCTTTGTCCTCTGTGACTCCTGCTTCTTTTAACTGTGGCTTGTCTTCCTTCTCCTGGATGGGCTTGCGACTCAGCTTGTTCACTGGGATCTGGCAAGAAGGGAGCATTGAAAGATTGTGCTTCTGAATACAAATTTAATTCACAAGTATTTTTTTAACTGAGTGGTAAGAGAAGAAAATAAGAAAATGTAATACCAGGCTATATATTTCATGGCAAATATCTAAAGGAAAGTTCCATAATGATAGAGACAGGAATGAAAGGAAGGAAAAAGTATAATACTAAAAGACACAATATATAATAAAAACAAAACATGTGAGAATACAGAGTAAAATTTTGATTAAAAGTTACATCCACAACTAAACACACCATAAATGTGACAAAAGCACATGTATTACTAATGCCATTTGTGCAAACATTAACATATTGCTTAGAGTAAATCAGAATGAAAAACTTACTGGTTAAAGGTACATACTTGCAGCAGAGGAGAATTGCCTGTGATAAATGAACGGACAGGCTTTCCTATCTTGGGCGTACTTGGCTTTGACTTTGGTATTCTGGATAGCTGTTTGTCCTCAACTGTGGTCACAGCAGTAGCCTTGTTCTCCTCCGTATTCATCTGTGTAAATTTGTTTTCATATAAGGGTCTACAGAACTATAGCATGTTTATGTCAATGAAGATTAACCACAAAAACAGAAGAGAGAGACTGTTCAAAGGTTTCCAATAAATTAAAAATATTCAACTATAAGAACAATTTTAAGAAAGAATATTGAGTTGAAGGATGATAAGCTTTTATAAAATGGTAAAAGTAGTAGTAGTAGTAGTAGTAGTAGTAGTAATAATAACAATAACAATAACAATAACAATAATAACAATAACAATAATAATAATAATAATAATAATAATGATGATGATAACAACAAGAATAAAAATAATAACAATAACAGTAATAACAATAGTAATAATAATAATAAAAATTATTACTACTGCTACTAATAATAACAGGAATTACTATTATCATCATAATAAGAGCAATGATAAGAAAAAAAAAGAATGGCAAAAAGAAAGAAAGAGAGGGAGAAACAAAGAAAGAAAGAAAGAAAAATTAAGGAAAAAAGAAAAGAAAACAGACTTATTCTGAATATGTGAATAAAATGAACACTGAACTTTACAAACAACAAAAGACATTGCTTGCAACTTCACATACTCTTGCACAGTTTTTGGTAAAGCAGAACATTTTCCATTTTTAGAAGGTACCTGCAGTGGCCCCCATAATCATGTGTGTTTCATCCTATCTAAAACTAAGCTGCAATTGGGGATGGGCAGCCTACAGCCTAAAGTCCTATTCAATAGTAATACAGTTGTTGCAGTGGCCTCTGCATGTTGCACTTTAGCCAAGGCTAATCCTCGACCAAGATGGAATCTGTTTAACTCAGCTGCTCTCAGGAAATATTAGAAGCCTCAGAAGAATAAAATTTCATCAGTCTCTTTGATTTTGGCAGCTGCAAATAGGACTTTCAAGGAAACAAGGCTAAAATGTGACTAAGACTACATATGAGGAACTCTACCTCCTCAATCAGTACAATCATGGCTTAAAAAGAAAGAAAGAAAAAATCAGTTTAGCACTCCCAACTTAGAACAGGCTAAGTATGATTGCAGTACACATGACACTCTGAGAGGAACCTCGTCATGCCCTCCCAGGCTGGAAACCTTACATTACATTACATTGTACAATCTAGTATGGCTCAATTTAGGCACTTTGACAACTTTGTGTAGCCAACCAATAGAAAAAGGAGATCTGTGTGGTAAAAACAGAAAAGTTCCCAGCCTGGATGCCCTCTGTCGGCTATGAAAACTTGAAAATACATTTCTTGACAGAATATATGTAGCAGAGGTTTGCTGTCCATTTTTGAGTCCTAATGGGCACAGGGCCACAAAGTGCACAGGCGTCTTCATCCATATGCTGGATTAATCTTAACCCGTTACTGCCTGGTCACATGTATAGCCTTCATAACAAACTGCTTGATCTGCCTGGTACGGCTAAAAGCGCGTCAAGTGAGAAGTTCCACTTTGTGTAGGCGGGATGGCTGCCAGAAATCACCGGAGAGATTTCTCATACCGTCA